ATGATGTAACTTTTTCCCATAGCTTAAAATCAAATTTTTATATCTATCTATCTATCTATCTATCTATCTATCTATCTATCTATTTATCTATATAAAATTTTATGAGTTTTCATTTATTTTTTGACAAGCTTGGATCCATCAAATCACATTTCAATTGGACTGGTTTGGACCCAGTCCATATGGGTTTGAACCGGATCAGTCCGATCCATATGTAAACCGACCCTTGAGTTAGGTTGGATTGGACCAAATATGATCCAACTGATAGTGCAATTGATAACATCGTGGGATGCGGAATGCCTGCCCTTCCCCCCTCCCGGCTTCCACCTAGAGGTGTAAATCGGGCCGGGTCGCCCACGACCTAGCACAACACGACACTAAGGCCCACAGTCCATGCCAAGCCCAACACGAAGGTCCGTGCCATGCTGGGCTAGGGGTTCGAGGCCCATGGGCTGTCACGGCACGACGCCCGCGGCCTGCCCGAGAATATAGCTATTGAGCCCCCCCCCGCCAAAGGGGCCCAACAGCTAGTTTCAGCTTTTTAGGGGGGTTTACAAAAATACCCCCCAACAGGCAACAACTACAAACAACCATATTAGGGGGGTATTTGTGTATTTTGCTTATGGGGGTTGAAAAAAATGATATAAATGACCCCCCAACAGCTATAACACAACTATTTTAGGGGGGCATTTTGGGTAAAGTTATAAGTAACTTTACAATGACCAAAATACCCCTCCCAACAACTAAATAACATATAGTTTTTTGGGTATTTTGGGCAATTGAATTATGTTCAATTCCTATAAATAGCCCTATCCTCCACCATTCTCATCACACCAATTCAACAATTCTCTTAATCTCTTCTCTCTCTCTCTCTCTCTCTCTCTCTCTCTCTCATACTCATACATTCTCAATTATCTGCAATTTGAGAAATTCTGATTAGCTGATTGTGTGGTTCTGCATTCTCCAATTCTCAAGTCTTAACTTTGTTGAAGTTTCGAATTTCAACAATAAGGAGGCTTACTCAACCAGCTCAAGCATATCAATTCGAGAGGCTTTGACGTTGAAAGGCTTCAACCGTTGAAATCAAGTTGAGATTTTGAACCAGTAATCTGGGTAAGTAGAATTAGATTAATTTTTATCTTTTTAGAATTAAAAAAAATGGCTGACTCTTCTAAAAACTGATTCTCCAACATGTTCACCATGGATGACATTTAATTGCATTACAATAATATTAGCACTGATGCGGTTGATGCCGATGGAAGTGGAACTTTCACCCCTAGTAGTGGTGATACTATGGGAAAAAGGAGGGCTTTTAAGCTGAGTAGCCCGGTTTGAAAAGTTTTCAAAGTAGAGGATATTGATGAAAAGGGGAAAATGGTCGTTTGCCAAAAATGTAGGAAAGACTTTAGTTATTATAGCAATGGTGGTACGGGTCATTCGAGCAGACATCTGCTCACACATGAGCGAGAGGAAGATGAAGGGAGAGAAACAACCCATTTATATTAGCTGAATATCCAAAGCTAGAAAAATGGTTGCGTAGTTTTGTAAAGCCACAATATAAAAAAGTTTATAGGAATACTATAAGAACTGATGCTTTAAAATTTGTATTCATATAAACAAAATTTAATTTATTTTTTAGCAAATCTTAATTCTAAAGTTGCAATTACTTTGGATGTTTGGACATCCAAATTTAATATTAACTATATTTGTATTACTGGCCATTTTATTGATGAAAATTGATTTTTGAATAAAAAGAATTTTAAGTTTTACTAGGCTTGAATGGCCACATAGTGCCCCAGATATTGCTGCAAGTATTTTAAATACTTTGCATGCTTATGAAATAGAAACCAAATTGTTTTCTATTAGTTTTGATAATGCTATCAATAATGATTATGCAATAAATATTTTAAAATCTCAATTAAACCATGCTTAAATGATAAATTAATTCATATTAGAAGTGCATGTCACATCTTAAATTTATGTATTCAACATGCCTTGAAAATTATTTCAAATCATATTTCAAAAATTAGAAATTGATATATATAATATTTATGCCAAAATTATGGTTTAAAATCTAAACATTTTATATTAGATGTAAAGCATAAGTGGAATTCTACTTATGATATGTTAGAAAGTTGTATATCTCATAAACAAATTCTTTTTTATTTTTATAATTTAAAAATGCCTAATGATATGATATTTGTGGGAGATTTGAAAATGACAGTCTGTATAAGAGATTTTTTAAAACATTTTTATGATGCAACAAATGAATTATTTGGAATTTATTATCCAACTAGTTGTAATTTGCCATATCAATTAATGGTAATTAGTGATTGTTTTGCTAAATATAGAAATAATCCACAATTTCAATGTATTGTTGAAATTATGGAAAATAAATTTAAAAAATATTGGGATAACATTTCTCCCCTTTATTGTTTAGCTACAATATTAGACCATAGGATTAGAAAAGATGGTTTAGATATTTTACTTGAAACATACTGTGAAAATATGAATGTTGATATAGGAAATAAAAAAAGAAGAAATTAATAATTTATTATTTGAAATGTATAGTTTGTATGAATCTAAAGTTATAGGAATATTCCTACAACTTGTTCATTATCTTCTTCTTCTACTTCTTACTTCTGACCTTGAGTCTAGTAGTAGAAGAGAAAAACTTTTTTTATTTAATAAGTAGAAGGCAAAAATCTGTTAGTTCTACAAATTCATTTATTGAACTTAATTTTTATTAAAAACAGTTTTTTCTAATTTAGGTGAAGTATCAAATAATTTTGATATTTTAGCCTAGTGGAGTGAACACTCGAAAAATTATCCGGTTCTCGCCGCCATGGCACATGATCTTCTAACCCCTCCGATGTCTACAGTTCCATCGGAGTCTTGTTTTATTGCAAGTACAAAGGTGTTGAATGACAAAAGAAGCTGCATGAATGATGGGGGCATAGAGATGTGCATGTGCTTCAAGGATTGGCTAGATGCAGAAGATAGATTACAAGACAAGGGAGGACATGAATGATGATTCATGAATTTTGACTACTTGTATAGAAATTTTCATTTATTCAAATTATTGTAATTTTTTAATTTTATTTAATTTATTTGATAATTTTTTTAACTTTTTTTAACAATGTAATTTTGTATTTTCAATTTGTAACCATATTGTATTTTTTATATTTTATTAATTTATTCCATTTTTATATTTTATTTATCCAAGTATGCAATGATCCAATCATTGTATTTGTAATTCATTAATTTGTACTATTGAAATTTAAATGAAATAAAATTCTTTTTTTCCAAATTTGTTATTCCATCATTCTTATTTCAATTTCAATTTGGTTAAGTATTTTTTTTCATTTATGTGTTAAATAACTTAGATTTCTCATTTCCTAATTTTTTAAATAGTTCACAATTTCCAAAGTTCATAGAAAAGTTAATTATTTTAGTTTTACAATTTTACTTAGAAAAGAAATCAAAATTTTCAGAAAAAAAAGCAAAAAAAATGAAAAAAAATAGTGTAGCCCGGTTCAGCCCAGACCCAAGGCCCGCCCTGTGGCCCAGCCCGACATGGCCCAAACCCACGACATGCCCTACAGCCCAGTCCGACCTAGGCCCGCATGCCGGCACGACACAATACGAGCTTGTTTAGGCCTAGACTGTGGACCGTGCCGGGCCAACCCCCAAAATTTCCAATGCGACAGACGACACGGCCTGTGGCAGCCGTGGGCCAGCACGACACGACTTGCCTTTGATGCGAGCCACCCACAGTGCCGGGCCGTGCTTGCACTGGCCCACTGTACACCTCTGCTTCCACCCATTGAAGAACGCGGAGGGACGCTTCAGGACAACTCGATAGCAAATGGATCGACACTCGCAATTTTCACATCTCGTTCTTTTTGAACTTAACACGTGTAAACGTAAGACACAGAGACCGGGTCTGCTCCTCACGAGGTTCCTCACACACACATCCTATCATACACTGAAACATCTCCCGTACTTATTTATTATTATTCACAGGAGATGTTCCTAATGCACGTAGATGTGCCTGTGAGGTGTTCATTTGCGAGGAACAGATCCCGTCACTAAGGCACGTGACCTTACATGCATACTGCTCATGACCCCTTTTCATAGATCTCCTCACACCTAGCGCCTCACAGACGCCTCACACACATATCTTATCATACACTGAATCATCTCCCGTACTCCATTTGTGAGGAGCAGATCCCGTCACCCCTCGAGAAACTCTCAATCCACGTTTTCTCCCTTCGCCCGACTCTCCCCCACCGGCCAGGAATTGGGATTCAGTCCTCACAAATCCGGATTAACTGGACGGACACTCTACTTTTCCCTACTACTTTTAAGTTATTATTCACGGAAGTTGTTTTCAATGCACGGTGAATGTACATGTGAGGCGCAGATCCCGTCTCGAACCGAATCGCCCCACTCGTTACCCCACGTTCCGAATCGCCCCACTCTCATTACCCCACGTTCTCGGCTTCTCGCTTCACAATGGTTTTCTCTCAACTGTCAAGCCGTACATGAAATCACAAATGCTGATTTCCAAATCCGCCCGACTCTTCGAGTACTGACCTGACGGTGGCGGCGTCTCGAGCGAAGCAACGATGATTTCTCTAATTCTTCGAGCTTCTCTCCTGTCGTTGGATTGGAAGAATGGAAATCGGAGAGGATTTTCATTTAGCAATAATAGCATCTGTTTCTCATCCAATCAGCTACGATATCTGCCATGTATTACGATAATGCCACTAATCGTTTTAGTGTGTGAGTCATCGAAATGTATTACGAATTTACGATATCGGCATTGATTTTATTACGTTTCCAAAAATATCCTTTTATGGATACGTGAGGTTGGTAGAAGAAAGGGTAAAGATGTCTTTCGCAATTAGCTCCCGCCAGCCTGCTGCGTGAATCGTTGATGCAACCTTTATAACATGATGAGTGAAGCTTTTGTTTTGTCTCCAAAATAAGAACGCATTCATACATAGCTGTTTTCCGGTTGAGTTGAAGCCTTCTTTCCTTGGATTTCATCGTTCCGTTCATTGCGATGTCTCGTCGCGGCGGTGGCCGGCGTAGCGATCATTCTCGAGAGCAACAACCATCACCGGCGACGTCGGTGGCACCATTGGGTGGTGGACGGGGTGTTGGGGGACGAGGTGGAAGGGGAACCGGCGATTGCTTTCCTCCTCCGTCATCCACTCATTCTCTGACTGTGTTTCAAACTGGACCGAGTTCATCCGCCTCTGATTCTTTAAGCATTGATGTGGAGCAAAAGCTTACTCTGGAAGTTTCGGCGACAGAGCTGCCCCCGGCTTCATCAAAGGCTGTTAGGTTTCCGCCTCGGCCTGGTTTTGGCACAGTCGGAAACAAATGCGTCGTTAGAGCAAACCATTTTCTGGTTTCGCTTGCAGATAGGGACCTTTATCACTACGACGTGAGCATCCTCCTACGAATATTTTTGTTTTACTATTCTTATTCTTATCAGGTCTTTCTGTTTAATTTTTGCATGTTTGCTTTGCAATGTTCTGGCATTTATTCGTAATATGTTCCAAGATCTCTTCATTAGTTTCTTCTGCATCTTCTCTTCATGTCTTGTTTCCCTTGTTCGCTTTTCTTCTGTTATATGATCTTTTAAGTGTTCCATTATTTTCTCAGCGTTGGGATTCAACGTATGCTTTTTTTCTTTTTGTTTTTTATGGTTCATGAGTTTGCTTCTTTCCCCGTACGCGATCGTTTGGTACAACATTATCTTTTGCTTTTTTTCCTTTTTATTGCTTAAATCCCGTTTGCTTTTTTTGTTGCCTATTTTTCTCTAAATGTGTTGTTTTGGGAGGAAAATAGTTCTCATGATGTTTCAAAGTCCCAAGGCGGTTTCATTTCTGCGTTTTCATTTGAACTTTTTAATGCACGGTTTGTCCTTAGTCCATTTTGTATTCTCGTTAAAATTTTTAGTTTCCAACGTGAAGCTGGAATCAGCTTCAGTGAGAAAATCGCCATCTCTTGGTTATTCCAGATGGGCAACTCATTTTTCAGTCTTGGTAGAAGTTGTCTTCAGATCAGAGCAACTTAACAATCCTGTGCATGGTGTAAAACTTCATTACCTAGTGCAATTGATTACTGCTAATGCTTATACAATACTATGTACAATCTCCGGAGCATTCTTGATGAATCCTTCGTCCAGAGTTTGGCATCTAAGTTGAGTTAAATGATTCCTTTTATTCTCATTTTGGATTCTTAGGTTTGTTAGATCACATGGAAATGAAAGGTTGTCATTTTAGGATGTTAAAGTGTTTTATCCAACCTGTAATCATTAATGATATTCAGATAAAAATTTAAGTTACATGCCAAGGGGATTCCAACCACAATGTATATTTTGGGAGTTCATGAATATGCAATATGCTGATGGGTTGTTTCTTTAGAATTTGCTTCTTAATGAATGTTCTTTTTCTTGGATTGCATAAAGCAGGTTTCAATTACTCCTGAGGTAACATCTCGAAAAATCAGCAGAGCAGTTATTACCCAACTTGTAATTTCGTATCGTCAGTCACACTTGGGCAACCGTCGTCCAGTTTATGATGGTAAAAAGAGCCTCTATACAGCAGGTTCTTTGCCATTTTCATCAAAAGAGTTTGTCGTCAAGTTAGTTGATAAAGATGGTGAAGCTGGTCAAAGGTTTGTTCATTTATACTATTCCTACCTCAGTAATATCCGCTCAACTCCTTTTCCTTTTGCTTCTCCCCTAGCATAACATGTTGATAAGTACATGCTTTGTTCGAATGCAGGAGGGAAAGAGAATTCAAGGTGGCAATAAAGTTAGCTTCCAGAGCTGATTTACACCATCTGCAACAATTTTTGAACGGCAAACAAATGGATACTCCACAGGAGACAATACAAGTTCTTGATGTGGTTCTTAGAGAATCGCCCTCCAGAAAGTAGTTTATTACCCTTTTTTTTTATTTCTTAGTAGTTTATTACTCTTAATGCATTATATCACATAAAGGTTTTAACATTTAAATATGCACTAATTCTTTTTGTTATTTATCAACAATAGATATACTGTTGTTGGAAGGTCATTTTTCTCACAAACGCTTGGCCAAGGAGATGAGAGTCGTGAAATTGGTGATGGGTTGGAATACTGGAGGGGATTTTATCAGAGTCTTCGTCCCACTCAGATGGGACTTTCTTTGAATATAGGTGTTTATTTGTTTTCTTACCTTACCTGAAATTTCTTAAAGTTTGACTGCTTGACTTTTGTACTTGAGTTTTCTTATTACAATCAATTTTGTATCAGTGATTCAACATGCTATTTATATAATTTTTCTCTTTATAGATGTATCGGCAACATCCTTCTACGAGTCTGTTAAGGTTTCTGATTTTGCAACCAAATATCTCAATATAAGAGACCCAAAAAAGCCACTGTCTGACACTGATCGCATTAAGGTATTACTAATAATTCTTTCTTCTGTACATGTTACTATCTTTTAGAACACCCACATAGATTATTTAGAATTTTGTGGTTTATTTGTAATATTTTGCTAAATTTTTATGCTTTTCTTGCTATTTTGCATATATTTGTATGTATTCTTTGTTCAAGCAAGATTGATGCACATGCATTTATTCATTTTCTCTTTCTATATTTTCAAACAACGTGTGGTGCCTTCTTGTGTCAGTTAAAGAAAGTACTAAGAGGTCTTAGGGTGGAAGTGTTGCATGTGCAACATGTTAGACGTTATAAAGTTTCAGGGGTAACGACTCAGCCTCTAAGCCATTTGACGTAAGTTTGTTGCCTCCCTTTTTACTTGTATGTTTAGAATATTTTACAAATGTCTGTATTATAACTTCAAAGCCTACTCAGCGGGGTTTTGTTTAATACTAAGTCTACTATTTGACTTGTCTTTGTAGTTTTCCGTTGGATGAGAGTGGGAAAAGTATTAGTGTCATTCAATATTTCTTTGAAAAGTATGGAGTTAGATTGCAGTATCCTTCCTTGCCAGCCTTGCAATCTGGAAGTGATATAAAGCCCATATATTTACCTATGGAGGTTTTTTTTTTCTGCCTATATTGTCCTTTTCAATCCCTGTTTACCATGCTAAATTTGTATTTTTGCCTCACCCCTTCTCATCCCATTTTAAGGATTGTTATTTGTTTCAGGTGTGCAAAATTGTTCCAGGGCAACGGTTTTGTAAGAAATTGAATGAGAGGCAGGTAACTGCCCTCTTGAGAGCAACATGTAAGCGTCCTCGTGAAAGAGAGAACAGTATTGCTCAGGTATGAGGTTATCTAGACTGATATGCTTTTGTACTTGTTGGATTATATCATATTGTTATTGGAAGTGTTTTTTGTTTTTGTTGCTTGCATCAATATATAGTGTTTTTCCATGTCATGCTACTGCAGATGGTGAGGGAAAATAATTACAACAGGGATGAATATGCAGTGGAATTTGGAATTCAAGTTACAAATACACCTGCAACAATTGAAGCTCGGGTTCTACCACCACCCGTGGTAATTATGTGGTTGAACTCTATCTATTGGTGCTATTTATTACTACTCTTACATTAATGTCCTTGCATTCCCTCCTGTACTCTATCTATTGGTGCTATTTATTACTACTCTTACATTAATGTCCTGGCATTCCCTCCTGTACTTTCAGCTAAGGTATCATGAAACTGGGCGAGAGAAAAAAGTTCAACCTGATATGGGCCAATGGAATATGATAAACATGGTGAAAAGAAAATTCTTTCCTTCCTTTCCATCTTGATTTTGCTCCTTGTTCAGAATCAATGTCTAACATTGCTGATATCTAGTGTTCATGCTTGGTTATTATTGTATTTCATCTTATTTAGCAATTGCCAATTTTATGACACATTTCATATAATTTTTATGCTTTTCGTTTATTATTATCATGTATGTACATGTCCATCTTGTGTGGGACAAATTGGAAATTTTGTCATCTCCAATTAATTGCCAAGGATTAGGAAAAGGCATTTTTCTGATAATAGGTCTGTTGATTTATGCTAATGGGGAATTGAGAAGATTTCACTTACAGAAAGTAGGAATTTAATGTTTTCTTATATGAAAATAAAATTAAGCTATTGGGCATGGTTTACTTGTAGTTGTATTAACTTTGATCTAGGATTGGAATGATTTTGTCTAAAGATTCAGTAAATGAATGATATGGTTGAACAATCGGGGGCTGATATGGTCTTTTGGTGCTTTGCTATGACTATAGTTAAGATTGAAAACTTGTGTAATAGGTTAATAGGTTGTGGTTGACGTATGAAATATGGTCCACAACTTTGTTAAGTTAGATGTGTTGTGTTTAGAACCCTCTTTAGATGTGTGCATTTCCCTTCAATATCTTGGGTTCCATGCCCTATGGTGTCCCATCAGATGTTATCATGAATTTGCATGTATACAACCAAGGGTTTCCTGGGGCTTACAACTGAGCCCATTGGAGTGCCAGTCTAAATCTGTTTGCATGTTTAGAACCTCTGTTGGGCTCTTTCATATCTTCTTTTGTGCATTTTATTTCATTACCTTGGGCTCCATGTCCCCTGGAGTTGCATCATATGCTATGAAGAATTTGCATGTAATAGTTTTTGTACATTCTGTGTGGTTTTTGTTTGCAGAATTCATTCTTGTAGATCCCCTCTCTTTCTGTTGGTTTAAATTTTGTATTCCATTGGACTTATTCTGCTGTTTTGATATTGGTGCAGAAAATGCTAAATGGTGGAACTGTGGAGTATTGGGCCTGTGTGAATTTCTCTTCAAGGCTGAACAGTAATATTGCTTGTCAATTTTGTCAGGAGTTAGTTCGCATGTGTTCCAGTAAAGGAATGGTAAAACTTTTATTTCTTTCTTTGTGGTTAGTTTTTGCACTGCAAAATGCTTATCCATGTTAATCCATCATTTTTCTTTGCCAGGCTTTCAACCCAAACCCTTTACTAAATATGTTTTCAGCTAGACCTGATCAAATTGAGAGGACTCTCAGAGAAGTTTTGAATCGATCGGAAAAGGCCCTGACAAGCAAGGGAGTGAAAGGAAAGCAACTTCAGTTACTGATAATTATTTTGCCTGATGTTGGTGGTTTATATGGTAACCATAACTGAAACCTCGAGTTTGTCTCCCTGAAGTACACTTGTTTGCAACAAATAATGTGCTCTTCTTACCTTCACATAGGAACAATTAAAAGAATATGTGAAACAGAGCTAGGACTGGTTTCTCAATGTTGTCAGCCTAAGCATGCTGGGAAAATGGGGAAGCAATATCTCGAGAATTTGTCCCTCAAGATCAATGTGAAGGTGCATTTCTGGTCTTAAATCAATACATTTGATGAGTGTCTGGTTTTGGGGAATACAGTGTTGTGCCAAATGAGTTCCATAGTTTTCTATAGGACCTGATTTTTTTCACTAAATGGGTGGATTTTTTTTTTTTCAATGTGCAAACTTGTTAATGACTTACTGTAAGCCTTTTGGTGGCCAAAATTTTGCTTTCTTAACCTTTTTATGAAAAAGATGCCAGTCCTAGTAATTTTTGTTTTGATTCATGATCCAACTAGGTTGGAGGGCGAAATACTGTTTTAGCTGATGCTATAGAAAAAAGAATACCCCTTGTTACTGATCGTCCTACCATTATTTTTGGTGCTGATGTTACCCATCCTCAGCCTGGAGAGGACTCTAGTCCTTCTATAGCAGCGGTATGTTATCTATATTTCTATATTTCTATTTCTAAAGAATGTCCATTTTTAAAGGTTTTTTATATATCACAGGTAGTTGCCTCCATGGATTGGCCAGAGGTAACGAAGTACCGAGGCTTGGTATCGGCTCAGGGCCATAGGGTAGAGTTGATTGAGGATCTATATAAAGTTGTTAATGATTCTCAGAGGGGTATGGTTCATGGTGGAATGATTCGGTAAGAAACCTTTGGTAGGGAGGTACATTATGCTTATGGAGTTTGTTCCTTTCATGTTTACTAAATACCCCTTTTGCTGTTGGCACTTGCAGGGAACTTTTGATTTCATTTAGGAGATCAACTAATCAAAAGCCTCACAGGATTCTCTTCTTTAGGTAGAAATTTACTCAAATGGATTTCTGGGAAGAAATATTTACTTAATAGAAGTATACTTGTTCTCATACTAAGAATTGTTTCCTGGTACTACTTGCAGAGATGGTGTCAGTGAAGGACAGTTTAGTCAGGTATTGCTTTATGAGATGGATGCCATTAGAAAGGTAAGAAGGTAGTGGTCATAGAATTGTTTCCTGGTATAGTGTGAGAGATCCAGATTCATTTTTTTTTCTGCTCCCTTTTAAAGAAATACATTAGTTTTCCATATATTTTACATGGAAACAACTGGTTCTATGGAAAAAGAAGTATAATTCACAGAGGAGATAATGCAACCTTTTTTGGTGCAATGTCAAACAACTGTAGAAAGTCCAGAAAGGGTCTTGCTTTGGTCCATTATACAGCTAGGTCAAGCATGAAAATTCATGGCCTACATTGGATATTTAAAAAAGTATCCTGGAGATAATGTGTTGGACATACATATCATTGGTTCTATGGAAAAAGAAGTATAATTCACAGAGGAGATAATGCAACCTTTTTTGGTGCAATGTCAAACAACTGTAGAAAGTCCAGAAAGGTCTTGCTTTGGTCCATTATACAGCTAGGTCAAGCATGAAAATTCATGGCCTACATTGGATATTTAAAAAAGTATATCCTGGAGATAATGTGTTGGACATACATATCATAGGAGGAACTCTTGTTGCCTGGGTTCTTGAGTAATTATCAGAAGTCAGGGTCTTCTTTGATACATTTAAGAGGTTTCTTGGTACTGTTGCCATATATTGAAGAAACATTTTGTATGAGATTTGTCTTGAAAAATGGGAATAAATGTTTATTGCTGTTGTTTGACTGCTAGGTTTCATTATATGCCATTAGGTGCTTCCTCCATAGTTATTCACCAAGTTTGGGAGGGGGCTGAAACTGAGGTAGGTGCTTTCAGTTACCTGCTTTGGATTTTTCACCAAACGTACTTGGTAGCTGTTTAGTGGTGCTCACCTTGCCAAGCCATAAGCTGCCATGGGAAAGCATTCCCAAATAGTTGCTGAAGCCATAGCGGAGCTACTTTGGAGAAACTACTTAAAGAATCTTCCCTCCCTGAAGGGCAGCAACTATGGGCTTTCTTGTTTTTTCACCTAACATTTCTTTTAGTCTCTGTTCAGGTGGGCCCCCCCTTGTATTAGAAAAAGAACAAATTATCTTGGAAGTTGGAAGGGGTGAATACAATCCTACTATATTGAGAAAATATGACAATGTCTAGATTGGTGGACCTCTAAACAGCTACCAAGTATGTTTGTTGAAATCATGTTAGTCATCATATTGGTGGACCTCACAGTTTAAGTCACGTTGGGCTGTTGCCATAAAATTAGCTTTTTAAATTATGAGAGTTCATGTTTCTTTTAATCTTTACCTTTTTGTTAAATTTCTTTATTTACCTAGAATTTTATTTTCAGGCTTGTGCATCATTGGAAGAGGGATATCTGCCACCAGTTACATTTGTAGTGGTGCAGAAGAGACATCACACACGTCTTTTCCCTGCAGATCACAATAACCGTGCTTTTACTGATAGAAGTGGGAACATTTTACCAGGTACGAAAGCTTTCCAAATCAAATTACAGTACATTGTTCCTTGGCCATTATCTTGACAAACTCCCACTCAAACAGGTACAGTAGTTGATACTAAAATTTGCCACCCAACGGAGTTCGACTTCTACCTCTGTAGCCATGCCGGAATACAGGTAAACCGTTCATATACTCTTGATCCTTGCTTTTTCTGTTTGGTCCCTGCTAATGTATGTGTAATATACTGTAGGGTACTAGTCGTCCTACACATTACCATGTGTTGTTGGATGAGAACAATTTCAGCCCGAATGCTTTGCAAACACTGACCAACAATTTGTGCTACACGTAATTCTAATTCCCTTCCATTTCTCTTCTAGTTGGATTTTTTTTAGTGAACACTGACCGACAATGTGTCACCTGTTCTAGATATGCGAGGTGTACTCGATCCGTATCCCTTGGTTTGTACTTAGCAACTCAACTCGTTAATATGTTGCTTTGAGATATTTTTCCCATCCAGATATCATTTATTTGTCTTGATTTTACCTTCTGCAGTACCTCCGGCTTACTATGCACACCTGTTTGCCTTTAGAGCTAGATATTACATTGAGGGTGATCAATCCGATAGTGGATCTTCGGCTGGAGCTAGAAGTTGTACTAGAGAGAAGGGTGGTGCAGTCAAGGCCTTACCTCAAATCAAAGGAAATGTTAAAGATGTTATGTTTTACTGCTGAAATATGCACTTTGTATGTTTCTGTACAAGGGTTTTTTGTTTTGGTTCCGTTGCTTTAGGTTTTGAAATGGGCTCTAGGCCTGTCTACTACTAGTGGATGTGAATATGCTTCAGTTGATCTCAACATGCTCTCTCAGCTACGGCATATACTTGCACAGATGTAGACATCGTCAGCCACTGACTGGCTAGAATTCGACTTTTGTTAAAACTGTTACTGGATACAATCATTCCATATTTGATCAAGATCTTCAGGGCCTTGGAAATTTCCTCCACGGCTCCACCTCTTTGGGTGTTCTTCTGAAACACTTGTGAATGTGTGGAGATAAAGAACAATGTGCTGATTGGATACAATCATTCGACGTTTTCTGGCAAGATGCTTTATCCTGTCGCATGTTGACCTCTGTTAAAATCTCCATGTTTCAAATAAACTGGTGTGTGACTGAATCCATATACGATGCATGGGGACTTGAGGAACGTATTGTGGAACACACCCTTAATTAGAGAGATATTAAAGCTTTAGATGAATGTGTGTTTCAAATAAGCTTTAGATAAATTCACCTGCAGTCAAAAAGGTGAATTTAAAATTACCAACAGATGTAGATAAGTACAACTGCAATCCACCACAAACGGTGAGAGAAATGACAGGAGAGGTTTCCAAAAGAGACTTCAACGAGTGTAATAGTATGTTTGGGGTAGATCCGCAAAAGACGGTAGAGACCCAAACATTACAACCGCTACCAGAGACCCAACTTCCATAACTGCATCCACCAGAGAACTGCAAATGGAACTCACCATGAATTGCATCTGCTGGAGAACCGCAAACGGACTTGACCATGGATGACAAAAGTAAAGAAACATCCACCAGTATTGAATGCCCAATACAGGATCCAAGAGAAAGTAACCCCCTTATCAAAATGCCTTCAGAAAGAAGAAAAAAAGCACAAAAAAAGGCGAATAATGGAGAGAACTAGATGGGAAAGGCGAGGGAAATAGATGGGAGGGAGAACAGTGGGAAATAGAACAATGGGAAGAAAGGAGAGAACCAGATGGGAGGAATTACGAAAAATGAAGGCAGGGGAGGAGGGAAGAAAAGAAAACAGAAAAAAAAAAATATAAAAACAAGAAAAGAGGAGAGAATAATGAAAAGGGGGACTCCGCAAAGGAAACCACCCCAAAAGAAATTTCTAGGATGAAAACGACAAACAGAAAGATTGAGAAGACCTCAAGAAACTCGAGAGGAAAGCTCTTTCTAAACAGAAAGATTGAGAAGACCTCAAGAAACTCGAGAGGAAAGCTCTCTCTAATTAGTTTTGAGCCATTTGCACCCCTATAACTTGTCTCAACTTAGCTGACTTCGAGAGCAAGTGAAATCAGCTAGGCCAACCTCATCTTGGTGGAATTTAAATGAGTTGTATGAATTATGATTACGGAAATGAACCGAGATATCCTGGTTCTGTTATTACTAGCGAGCAACAGGTGGAAGCTTTGCTAACCCAAAATGTATAGCAAACTGTTTACGAATTACAAATTACGGTACATGACAGGCGTTTGCTTCCTGAAAAGACTCGGTACATAATTGCCATTGGTCTCCCAGATGCACAACCTACTGGCCCTATATTGAATTGGATCGGTCCAGATTTAATGGTCCAAAGTATTTATTGGATTGAATTGAACCTAATCCATCTGTAATGGGTTTATAATGAATTGGATCGGATCACATAAGAATGCAGGTGCCAATGGACCATGTTTGGGTTGGAAGTTGGAATCAATCTAAAATAAAACCAATTTGAACAGATTGGACTGGTCCAAAATGGAGCAGATTGGATTGGATCTGGTCCATCTGGAATGGACTCATATTGGACGGGAATGGAATGGACCAAATACAGTCCAGTTGACATCCCTAGTTGAATGTACAGTGTTCACTAGCATATGCATTTAGATTTACCACGATCCGTCAACAGTTCAACACAGTCGCCAGTCCATATGGTCAGAAGCAAAACATGAATCGAAAAAACCTGTTTTTACCACCCAATCTTTTTAAGGACAACCGGGCATCCAGATAAGCAGGTCAGATACCGAAAGTTACAGTTCACACTCTTACAAAAAAATAAAAATAAAAATAAATCTATGAAAGGAATCGATTTAGAAGACAAAATTGGAAGCTCTAATGCTCACTATCAAAAATTTGAAAGCCCTAAAATTGCAGAGCATAACCGCAGTTCCAGAATATGGTTATTTAGTTGACTGCAACCTCAGTCGATAAGTAATTGGGATGAAGGGAATCCTGTCCAGCAACCTTGGTATTTGAGAGCTTTAGCACCTGCAGTGCTTCTTCAACTTTAGCAACCAATGATTCAGGTGATTCCAACAACAGAAGTAATTCTGAATTGTCCATCTCCAAAAGCATGCCGGTTATTTTTGCTGCAAGTTCAGGCTGCAAACCGTGTATATTTCTTTAGATATATGCAAGATCCTGCAAGATAAACTGGAATATGTTTCTAATCTTACCTTGTGTTTCATGACAAGGGGATAGAGGCGCTCGCCTAGTATCTGCTTCTGGTGCTGTGGTGTAGCAGCAGCAAGCATGCTACTTAACATGTCTGATCCTTGGGATACAGCTCCAACAAGATTGGAAGCAGTTGATGGGATTATTGGTCCATTGCTAGCGTCACGCAGACGCCCATTTGGGACATAGTTGGTCTTTCCCACTCGCTGCAATGCAAAGCTCAGATATTATAACACATAAATTGCTGATAAATAATCCACAATTTAGGACATGAAAACATGCATACATGTCAGGAAGAAGATCATGATATCTACAAATATAAAATGGAAATGCAACTCAAGGAAAAACAGTGACTTTTAAGTCTATGATTGTCTCTGAACAATATATAACATCATTATAAGCAAATGTGATTATGGCTTTTTTTCCCCAAAAATGGATGTTAACCAACGTAGTGTACAGATTGAATTTGGATGAAAAATTAGTTGCTCAAAATAGTAGCCCTAGCTAATGCTTCTTTGTTTTTAGGGGGGGTATTACATACTACATTACAATGAAATCGTAGCCCACTGGGCACTGGCCATAACCACGGAGAGCCTGCAGTTCTGAGGGGTTGATTCCACGCTTCCAAATTGGAGGGGGTGCCAAGTGACCATCTTAAATAATGGGTCATCGGCACTTAAAAGCTATTTTTTTTTGGCGAAATAAAAGCTACTTCAAGACTATAAAAACTTGTCTTTCTAAATATCTCTTTTATTGCCTGTAAAAGTTTGTTGACAACATTATAAAAGTAAAATTTACTATGAAAACTTTCATATTATGAAATGCTGGTGTAAAATGAAAAGTATAGTCTCCTAGGATAGGTCCTCACTCAGTTTCAGAATGTACTTACAGTAAACCAATATATCAAAGAGATATTTTCAGATGTATCAAACGGACCTTACTTTCAAAACTATATATGTGAACAAGGTTCCTAGGATACATCCTCAATTACAAGGAAAGTCTCCAGTATTTGATATTATTTCCTATGTTAGAAAAGTAACATTTCTCAAACCAGTCTATAGATATTGTTTTGAGGACTGCTTGGTATACTTGTTTGTAAATTGTTACTTTTCACAAATTAATAAAGTTCAAAATTACCAATAAAAAATAATTGAGGCTTGAATTTAATTAAAAACTCTTAGATGTACATCTTTAGCGATTAAAGGGCATTATACTAAAATTTTATTCCTTAACAAAACAAATCGATGTTCTAGGTGCTGCAATAGAACATGATTATCTATTATATATGTAGTCATTTGATCTTCAGCAAGGTGACCATGCATCTCTACTATCTGCAGTAGTGGGGGATCATCAAGCGTATTGAAGTATTAACCAAAAGTGGCAGGAAGCAATCGTACAAATTCAAAAAAAAAAAGTATGGGAGTATAAGGAGCCTAAAGAAAGGTATGATATCTGAAGAAACTATGAAACCAAATAAAAAGGTTTGCTTAAAAGAAATGCACACACAGGAGGGGCGGGGAGAAGCAGGGGCAAGAAACAAAAAAACAATTATTATTATTCAAATTATAAATTGCAATGAACCTTGAAAGCTTGAGATGCAGAGAATTTCTATTAGGAACTCATTGTAAATCATGAGTTCTAATGTCACAAGTTGACCAATTCTACCAACTAATAAATGGAGCAGACCAGTATATAAATATGATGATGATGATCATCATCATCATCCAAGCCTTATCCCAACTATATGAGGTTGGCTATATGAATCCTGCATCAGTATTCCATTCTGTTCTCTGTCATATCAATCATTAAATTATGGACACTTAAATATGGTAAAAAAAATTCTTGGCAGCTTGAGATGCAGAGAATTTCTATTAGAACTCAAATTGTAAATCATGAGTTCTAGTGTCACAAGTTGACCAATTCTACCAACTCAATAAATGGAGCAGACCAGTATACAAATGTGACACAATTAACCAGATTAAATATCATCGTCATCATCTAAGCCTTGTCCCAACTATATGGGTTGGCTACATGAATACTTTATCAGTACACCGTTCTGTCACTGTCATATCCATCGTTAAATTTTGGTCACTTAAATATGGTAAAAAAAAATTCTTGGCAGACGAAGAAGACAGGAAAGCTGGAGATGAAATTAAATAGAATTTCCTCTAAACAGCGTCATAACTTAAAACACTTTCAAAGTGAGAACAATCAAATACATTTTCAGATCATTAAAGCCCCAATCCAATAGGTTTCTTTTCTAATTGTAAATTTGTATAATTTATATCAATATGTGTAAGTTCAATTAAGTCATGCTTCCATATATGAAAGTATTATCCGAAGTTCTAGCTTCTCTGCTGTCAAGCAAAAGCACTATGCCATTATCTATTTTACTTTTAAAGGAAAATAGATTTCTGTTGTCAAATAGATTATATAAAAACGTACTTAATGCCTTGAGAGAACACCAATGAAAGTATTTCTCAAAAAAAAAAAAAAACACCAATGAAAGTCATTTTTCTTTAGTTACTCCAGCACATCTTCACAAGGCAACTCATTAGAAACCAGTAGCGAAAATAGCAGGCTTACCTGTTGATTGCTTGAATCTTTCAGTGAATTTGCTGACTGAGTTGGCTGTTGCAGATTTGGCATAAACTGGACAGAGTTTCCACCACCCTGGGGAAGCATATACCCATTTATCCTGCCTCTATTTTGTCTCTGCTGTCTTGGTGCAGTAGGAATCTGTTATGAACTGATTTTATTAATAATCACATGTGAACAATATATACACAAATTGGTTATTTTGTTGATAAATTCATCAAAATCATTATTTATCAAATAAGAGTTAAGGAACACTTACCATAGGAAGTGGCATAGGTTGAAAAGCTGGTCTGGGTGGAGGTGCATATCCACTGGGCCTCCATCCTGGCCTCAAACCAAGAGGTCGATACATAAGCCCCTGCTGAGGAGGAATTTGTGAAACAACACCAGGAGGAGGTGTATAGTAAAGGGGTGGGTATCCAGCAGGGATAACAGCAGTTGAGGGACCCCCTAATGCTGGCATATTCTGTGAAAACTGAAGTTGCAATTGTGCTTGCCTCTCTTCTTTTCTTTGTGCTATAGCCACGTACAAGGGCTTCCGGCGAAACATGCATCCTGTTAGGCATCCAAGAATATCATTGTCAAACAAAAAATATGAAATTTGATTACTTACTATCTATTCTTCAACATCAACCCATTTCTTAATGTTACCAAACAATTTAGCATGTTGTGTACAGGAATCAATTCCTTACTAGGGAAGAGAAAAAATTGACTTACATTTTTCTTGGTTCCAGGATGCCAGATGTTATTTTGAAATTTCTGTTTTGTACTACGAAGAAATCAGGTTGGTAAACATCAGGATGACATATTCCTATTTTCCACTCTAGACAGCATAGATTCATGGGATACTTTTTCATAACAAGCAAAGGAAATATAATAGAAAAAAGGAGAAAGAATACAAAATGCCAGAGTGTTTAAAACACACCCAAACACAAATCCCCCAACACTCAAATCATCCTTTCATACAATGGAAAAACTCCAAAAGATAATAAAAAGAAAACATATTGAGAATAAAGTTATCATTACAATCTTGAGTAAACAACACTCATTGAACCAAATCTCCAACATGGGAGTAAAAACCTTTCACTTTGAAACCAACTTCTAACCATTTTCCACACTAAACTGAGTACACTAGAACCTTTTCTCAGGAGTTCAACATGGGTTAGGTTTAGCCATCCAGATTGCCTCAAGAAGTCCTTATACACACACACACACAGCAAGAGAGAAGCGGTATGGAAGCTTTTTTAACAGCCCTCCCACACCTGAATATTCCTCTTTCATAAGTGCATCTGGTTTTGGTTATACATTTTCCCTTTTCTACTGTATACTTTTAGCAGTACATAGCAAAAATTGTAGCTTATTTATCATACAATTGAAACTATGCAGCCATGTAGTAGCTTCCTAGCAATCAACATATATGGAAACCAATGCCAATATTTGCTAGCAATAATTAGGAGTGACCAAACTGCCAATGGAATCCAATTACCTATGGCATCACGCCCACCTAATGGGGGTCCAAGATAGTGGACCCAATCTGTATACCAGATTGGGATTCAAACCACAAGTTTATATAAGTCTAGTATGCTAAAGGATAAATGACATATATGCATATATATCAATTTTAGTTATTACTAAATTCATCTTTATCAGTAAGCTGAGTACTTACTAAATAAACACATTAAATTGGCAAGGCCCCATACAAATTGTTTGTTTATTCATATCAGCAGCTTAGGAAAAAAATCTACATCATCATATTTCCAATTACTCTAATGCCGTGTTTGGGAGTGCTTAAAAATAAGTGCTTATTTGGGCCAGGACCACACCATTAAGCACTTATTGGTGCTTTGGAAATAAGCCCGAAATAAGTGCTTATTTTTTAAGCCTAAATTTCCAGCTTTTTTAAGTACTTATACAATAATCACTTATTCTATTTTTTTTCCTTCCAAAATTATCCCTAGTTGAATTTTATAAAAGTACTTTCGTAAAAGTGCTTTTATTAAAGTGCTTTCATCAAAATACTTCGTAAAAGTACTTTTATAAAAATGCTTTCGTAAAACTGCTTTCATAAAAGTACTTTTACTTTTGTAAAAGTACTTTCAAGAAATTTGAAAGAAAATGAAGGACAAAATAGTAAAAAATGCTTATTTAAGTGCTTATTGGAGAAAAAGACTACCAAACACCCAATATGAAATAGGTGCTTATTTTTTAAAATAAGCACTTGAAAAAGTTGGGTGCCAAATGCAAATAAGTGCTTATTTGAATAAGCACTTGCTCAATAAGCACTCCCAAACATGAACTAAAATCCAAAATTATAGAGGGACAAAAGAATAAGAACATCAACAACTGATCTACACAACTCCTCATATCTCTCAAATATTAAGTGACTTCTCTCCTTGCAAATTTCATGCATTGAACAAAAAGAAGGGAGGAGGTTTGAGAAATGTATCCTGGATAGTTAAAAGGCTTGGTAGGCCATGCAAACAATAATATTTATTTATTTTTCCGCTTTTCCCTTTTGCACATTTAAATACAATATAAATTCTAATTTATTATTTTCTATTTTAAATGGCTGAGTCAGGAGCCCAATAGGTGCCAATTATTAGGAAGATGGCAACAAAATCTACCAAGAAATACATGAACCCAGATCCAATAGAACCTGGACACAATGTACATGGTGGATTGCTAGTAGTGTATAACCAGACACACTCAATTCCATATCATTTGAAGAAAGAGCATGATCCAAGGTATACAGGTTTGAAATTGTGAAAAGATTATACCAACTTACCATGAAAGGTGGCTACAGCTTTATTGGCCTCCTCAGGAGTTGAGAAGCATACAAACCCGAACCCCTTACTTATTCCTTTTTCATCACGCATAAGCTTCACAGAAGTAATAGTGCCACATCGACTAAAATGCTCCCGTAATTCATCATCACCAACATTATCATCAATGTTCTTGACATATACATTTGAACCCTAAATTGAAAAGTGCATGTATTATGAAGAGAAAGCAGAAATGATTCAGTGAGACCTATGAAGGAACTACCTTGTACTTCTGGATTTGCTCCTTACGTCTTTCCTCAAATTGATGCTTCAAGATTTGCTCCCGCTCTGCCTTTTTCTGTGCTCTTGCTACATATAGAGTCTTTGATCCTATTCAGCATGAACAAAATTAAAACAATAGAATCAAAATGGGACCCAAATTTCCTATTTATCAATTTGGAGATATTAAATGGAACAGAAATTACCAAGTTGGGTTCCATTCATTGCCTCCATTGCCTGCTTGGCATCATTTGGGCTTTCAAAATTGACAAATCCAAAACCCTTCGAGTTCCCATTTTCATCCTTTGAGATAACCAGATTAGTAATTTTTCCAAACTCAGAGAACTTCTCTTGCAGAAGTTCTTCAGACACATCCTGGTCCAGATTCTTCATGTACAGATTTGTATATTTAGCATTGGGGCTGCGTAAAACCCGATCACTCTTCTTTATGAAATTTCCAACATATCTACACCATGCAAGAATAATATTGCAATGAATATCAATCATGAAACAAAATTTGATAGTGTCCAATATAAATAATGATTAAAGAATGAAAATGGGACTAAACATGTGCAAAGTATGACAAGAAGAAAAGTAGCAAAATGCAACAATAGCAGTGAATACCAGAGAATCAAACAAAAGAATTAAGATCAAACTAAATTTAGAGGCAATAGGGCTTAACACATGCACATTATGACTAAAGGAGAACGATAAAAGCATCAAATAACAAAGACAAAGTAGTAAAAAATATGGTGATCATGAAACAAAATTACAAAAAAAAAGGATCAATGTAATTAGCGAAGAGCAGACAGCAACATGACTTAACACATGCAGGTTATGACATGAGAAAATTAACAGTGAAAAGGACAACAACGACTATTGACAAAAAGCATAATAATAATAACTAAACAATAAAGCTATGATATAACTAAATAAGAGAAGGGTTTGCATGTACATCTTTTTTCCTCCAACAGTGGAGTCATTAAGTTTCTCTATCGCACTTTTTGCCGATTCCTCAGATTCAAACTGGACAAACCCATATCCTTTGCTCTTTCCATCCTGAGATGTCACGACTTTGCATGATAAGATGTTCCCATATTTTGAGAACATCTTGTGAAGCCTCACATTATCAATGGAATCATCCAGATTCTGGATAATAATGAACAGAGACATTGCAGTCAAAATCCAAATCAAACGTACATGGAACTTAACCAAGATAACTCCTTGCCAGTATCTTCCAGAAGAATATAAATACCTTCACAAACAGATTTCCTATACCACTTTTTCTTGCATCTGGATCACGATGTGACCACATAATTCTCATCATCTTCCCATTCAACGGAGTGTGGTTCAGTTTTTCAATTGCCTGGATTGCTATTCAGAAACAGAAAAAATTAAGAGAAATGAGTTAACTAAATCATATTAAAATGACATACAATATAGTAAGAAAGGGATTCCAACAAAAAAAAGAAGATATAAGGAAAGGAGGAATCTTTCTTTCCTTTTTTTTTCCAAAAAAGAAAAAAGAACAAAGGCAACATGAATCAAATAGTAGAGAGTATACAACCGTACTAATAAACCAGCCAAGAGAGGTTATTAGAATTCAATCGAGCATATATGCAACAGATAAAGAATCAGAGAGAACTGGGAGAATTATCATTTTAAAGAAAAGGATGGTAGAAAATTAAACTTGGTTGATGCTCTTGGCTTTCTAAAATATCAAATAATTCATAATAAAAAAACATAAAACTAATGACAGCAGAGAGCAATCTTGAATATTAAGGAGAAAAGAAGAAGGAAAAATAGAAAGACAGATTGCAACCCAATTAAGATAAGCAGATACAGAAGACATACAACTGGAAAAGAAAATAACCATCATTGTAATCCAAAAGTGAACAATATGTCACATGTTCTTTCAGTTGTCTGTAAATTAAATAATGGGTCGTCAAGAAATAAAAGTCATGACTCATGACAATAGATATCAATCTAGTATAAGAAAGAAAAGGGGGAGAAATGACAGATTACAATCCAATTAAATGAACACAAATAATCATAAAAGCCAACAGAAGAATCAGCATTGTAGTATACCAAACTCAAGAGAGAAAAAGAAAGAATCGAAAAAAGAAAGAAAGGGTTCATTCGTTCTAATCAATACCGTCTTGAGTAGTAACGAAATTGGCATAACCATAACCGAGGGATCGCCCGGACAAGGAGTCTCTGCAAACCCGCACAGACGCAAGGTTATTAATGACGGAGAAGGTCTCAAGGAGTTGCCCATCGGTGACGTCAGGATGAAGGTCGCCAATGTAAAGCGATGCTTGCGCAGGGACGGTAGAAGGAACCGCCATTGACGAAGCAACACGAGAACGAGACTCTCTCAAACTCCCCAATTACACACGGAAATTACGAGGGAAGAAGAGAGAATAAAAAAAAAAAAAGAAAAAAAAACAATAACAACGACGACAACAACTGTTCTTCTCTGCTGGTTCGTGCAATGCAGCCAGGTAGGAGATATAAGAAGGAAGAAGGATTGAGGATTAATAAAGAACTTTCCTTATTTGCACCGATTTCCTTCTTAGGGAATGGATTTCTGCGAAAAGATCCTAAGTAAGTCAAAATTTTGAAAACATTCGTTCTGCGGAATATCAGAGAGAGAAGGTGTTTGTGTGGATTTGCAGGGGCGCGGGAGTTGGGGTGGAATCTCTCCCTGACTGGGTCCAACCTAACTTCACCACGCTCCCGTTCCCTCTCTCTACCAACAAACGCTCCCAATAAGCCACTGCAGCCGTATATTTGGAGCATCTCCCTTGTCATTTATGGGGAGATGGTTCCAATATGCGGCTGCAGTGGTTAGTTGGGAGCGTTTGTAGGTAGCAGATCCGAACTCCTCACCCCAGACCCTGATCCTCCTCTGTCGAAAAAAGCTTGGCTGTCTGAAAGAAGCAGCCTTGGCTGTTATGAAACTGTTATACGTGACACGTTACCTCACTTAATTTTCCTCGGGGTAAATCGTTGAAAACTATAAAGTTTTTTACTGTTGTTGAAACCTCTCCTATTAATTGCAATTATCTTAAAATCCTTTAACAAGATGCACGAAAATAAGAATTAAAGTATTGATATCGAATAAGTTGGATATGGATATGGATACGGATACGGATAAGGATATGCTTTGAAAATGTATGGATATGGACGAAAAAGATGGAAATGCATGAATGTGTTATATAAATACATAGAAATTTTATAAATATATTAATAATACTAAATTTAATATCAAAATGATCACCAAATAGTATATAAATACATAGAAAATGTAAATATTAAGGATATATATGAAGAAATATATTACGATTAATGAACCGGGATGCATAATTTTATTTAGTGCATCAATCAAGAGTGTAAGATACTAAACATATGCACCTATTATATTTTAATTATTATATCAATTATTTTTTATTTTACTATTTTAATTTTTTAACATTAAGAAAGAGTCAACTAAATATTAAATTTTCAAGTGCAAATTAAAATATCAATTAATAATTTATAATAATATAATCTTAACTTAAAGTATATCAAATTTGTTAAAATTTCTACGATACATATCATATACAAATTCATAGTTTTAATTACTAAAATAATTATTCCATTATTAATATTTCTATTTCTATAAATTTTATGAAATAAAAAATCTTTTTATGAAATAACTATAGATTAGTGGATTTGATAGATTCAATTTAATATTATATTCTTCAATATTTTGTATATAATATTTTTATTTTTTTTGTAAATAATAAATATATTGTTTTTTATTATTGTATGTAATATTTTTGGACTGGACCCCCGTCCAGTCCAAAATCAATTTGGATGGACCACGAAGAAATATTGGATTGGACCAGTCTAATTCAAATTATTTATTAGATTAGATTGGATTGGACCTGGTCCGTCTGTAATAAATTTATATTGAATCGGGTTGGATTAAGTCAATATCTTGATATAAGATAAGAAAATAGGTGTCAATGAACCAGATTTGGATTGTCCAAAATCAATTTGGACGGACCACCAAGACATATTGGATTGGACCAGTCTAATTCAAATTATTTATTAGATTAGATTGGATTGGACCAATCTAGTTCAAATTATTATTAGATTAGATTGGATTGGACCTGGTCCGTCTGTAATAAATTTATATTGAATTTGGTTGGATTAAGTTAATATCTTGATATAAGATAAGAAAATAGGTGTCAATGAATCAGATTTGGATTGAAACCAATCTAAATTAAAATGAATTTGAACAGATTGGATGGTCCAGGCATTGAATTGGACCGGTCCAAAATGGTCCAAAATATTCATTGGATTGGATTGGATCTAGTCCATTTGAATGGACTCACAGTGAACTGGATTGGATTGGAACAAATCTAGTCCAATTGGCACCCACTAGTCATATTCATCCACTGCCCCCCCCCCCCCCCCTTTGGATAAGTGTGGTTAAATTGCCTAGTTTTCAATAATTGAAGTAATGCCTTTATGGAAGTAAAATCTTACTCCAATTTTAGAATTTGCAAAGAGAAGTGATGGATTCCAGTCAAATGGATGAGCTCATGTTTAGATACTATTGAGGGGGTGTTCTTTTTTTGGATTTTGAGAGGGGGAAAGTTGGTCAATGGAATTTTGGTTCTATTGACCAAGGATCCCATGCTCTTTTTTAAGATTTATTTGGTAACTAGGGAAAATTTATTTTCCTGGGTACATCTCCTACGTGGGTAAATAGCTCTCCCACCTAGGGGGAAAGTTGCCAATACTTGAATGGGACAAAAATGATCTTTTCAATTATGAATTTTTATGGCTAAAATGATCATTGCCTTATTTACATGAGAAATAAAAGAACATGGGTAAATGCACTTACCCGGATAAGTGTTTCCCAAGAAAAACTTACCCAAGTAATTGCATTTACCTGATAAGTAACTTAACGAAAAGGGAACGGGGCCTAAAATCAATTTTGATGCTTCTTATGTTAATAGCAAGTGTTTAGCTGGTTGCGTAGCTAGAAATCACTTGAATTAAATCATTGACCATAGTATTGGCTCTTCTACTATTAATTTAGCGGAAGTTTGGCCTAACTAATTGCTATCAACTTCAACAGCAAGTGGATTACTATTGAAGGCGATTCCAAACTCGTTATTGATTGCTTCAATAATCATGTGGAGCCCTCGTAGAGATTGAAGATGACCATTGAAGAATGCAGGCAACTACTTGCGGAGATTGATGATGAGGTGGAGTATGTCTTTAGAGAAGTAAACACAGTTGGCTAGCTAACTGTGCTCATTCATCCTCTAAACCTTATGAGAGATTTAGTCCTTATTAATTGTGTGTAACCCCTCTTTCCGAGTTAAAAAAAAATTCCGGGGAGGGGAGCTAACTATAACTACCACGAAACTTAGGTAAACTCAGCACAGAAGTTTCAGTGCAAGAAGTTATATTACCGGTATTCATTAACAGGGTGTTTGGTTTCATGGGCGTTTATTCAATAAACGCTGCTGCCGCATAGGTGCCACTTCAGCAGTTCCCCTCTCGCTTTTCCATATACATCGAGAATGGTAAAAGTGGATTTGGTTTTTGTGCACGCCTACCGTTTGAGGAACTTATTTTTTAAAACTTCTACAAATGGTTAGGTGTTTTTTCATTATTATGATGATGTAGAGCCTAGTGGCAACTAATTGTCATAAATAATTGTAATTATTACCTTTCTTGGTTTTACAAACAAATAAAATACAAACATTGAATGGACAAAATATAAACTAAACCAAACACACACTAGAACTCATGGGGTGGGGTGGGAAAGGGTTTTCTGATTGATCAAAGTTATTTCACTCTCCTTAATATACATGTCATGTCAGACATGCATCCAAGTTTCACTCTCACATTCTACAAATTGAAAAACTTGGTCAAATCCTTTCGATATCATGTCTTTTCAGCATCATAGAGTTTTTCTTTATTTTATTACAAAACATTTTTTTCTAGGGTCTGAATGCATTTTGATTTTTTGTACAATACTCTTATCCAATTTTTGACACTCAAAGAATCTCTAAATTTAAACATCTCAAAAAAAGAAATCAAATAACCAATCCCATTGAAAGCTTAGGCTCGGTTTGGGAAGAGTGCAAATACTAAACATATTTGTATCACACTCTTCCTATATGAAGCCTTATCCATTTTTTTTTGTTTTATTTTGTGTAAAATACTAAATTATAGGGATACTAGCGGTGGCCCGAGTGATGCAAGAGATGAGGCACCCCCTCCTTGTCCCTCGCCCCCATAAATCAAGACACTCTACTCCATCCCCACCCGGACCATAGTGGTGGAGCAGGTTTGGGGTGAGGCACCCATTCCCCATCCCCAAAATTTTCCTACCCTGAGGCAACTACCTAAAAAATCTAATTTATGATGGGAATTTGGGGGTATTTTAAGAATTGGACTATGTCAATTTGGAGGTATTTTATAAATAAAATTATGGAATCGTAGGATTATGAGAATTTGAGGAAAACTTATAGATATTTTATAAATCAATATTAATTCTATGGATATTTTATTAATTTACCATTGGGTTTGGGGAAAATATGCAAACCCCATCCTTAATTTGGGGCAAAAATGTTTTCCCTGTCCCCACCTCATCTCTGCCCCATCCCCATTTAAGATTTGAGAAAACTTGCCCTGTTCAGGCGGGGTAGGGTGGGGCCCTAGTTTTACAAGGAAAATTGCCATCCCTACAATTTTAATAATTTTCTATAACTAATAACTAACAGTAAATTAAATAACAATAAATTACAATATTTTATGGTAATTTCCAAAAAATTATTGAAATTGCTATTGTTTAGTAGTAATGTATATAAATTAATTATTTACAATAACAATAAATTAATATAAATTATTTACTTTTTAAGCTTAAATTGTTTACTATATATTAATCAAAGTAAATGTAATTATGGTAAATTACATTATTTTTAATTAAAGTAAACAATTTGTTGTTAATTAATGTAAAACCAGGTATGATCAAAGTAAACCAAGTGGGAAAGTGGAGAGAATAGATATAAATATTGTTTGATTTTGAAAACTAAATATTAATAAATTATGGCCCTATTTCTATTGGGAAAGTGGAGAGAATAGAGAAGAATTAGAGATAGAAGTGAAGGAGAGGATAAAACATATAGTGAGCTAATTAAGGAGAGAAGTTAGGTTGTTATAGAAATTGAGAGACGTGAGTTGTTGGGGGGAGAGAGAGAACCCAATGGGAAGGGAGAGGAATGAAGGGAGGGTGCTAAGATGGCAAATTGGGAGTGGTGGAGAGAGAGAGAGAGAGAGTCAAGGAGAATGCAGGGTTGGGGTAATGAAGCAAGGAGAAGCAAGGTTGATGTGGACTGTCTTTATATACATATATAAATAGATAGATAAATAGATTCATTGTTTTTGTTACATGTCATAATTAAACTTGAAAAACAAATTTCAGTCAATTGTTTTCATATAACTAAGGGGGCTGATTGGGTTGTGATGCTTCTTGATCCAAGGTGGGGCACAAACCGAGGAATGCGGTCAGATAATCCTTGCCAACTGGGCAGAGACGAGGTTGAAGGACAAGGTCACGCTTCAAGACCTATGATCAAGAAAAGGTGTCAGAGGCTCAAGGAGTTA